TATAAATAAAACTTTGAACTTTTTGGATAATTTCGTGAACAAATTTTTAAAATAACACAATAATATCAATTAAAAGAGTAGACTTGTGTTTATAATTTTACAGTAGAAGTTTAGTCTAAATATATTTCTACTTTTAGCTTATGGTCTCTTGCTAAACTTTAAGGAAAATATAAATTTTCTAATTTAATTACAATTTTAATTGATAAAGAAATACATGTAAAACAATATACATGTGATTACAATGCTATTAAAATCAAAAAAAAATTTTCAAAATAGTGGGGCTAGCCGGTTCACGAAAAGAACGAGGAGGCAAAGCGGAAAAAAAATAGCCATAAATAGTTGGATCAGTCACACGATAATTATCAAATTTCTGTATCTTTTCAATAAATACTAGGTCTCTAAATTTTATTTTGTCATCTCCCTTATGGCGGCCTCTCCCCTTTTCTGATCTCTTTTGTTTTTTGAAATTTTCTAAAACCTCCAGAAATTCAGGATCATTATTCTCTTCTCCTTTATTCAAATTATCTAAAGCTTCTAAAGATTTAAATACATTTTTCACTTCCTTTTCCGATAAATACCGCAACAAAATTTTTTTGAATTTTTCCCTATCATCATTCCACGTATTTTCATAAGACATTACCACAGGTTCTAATCCAAACAACTCTACCAAATTATAATTATAACTTCCATTTAGGAGCTTTTTTGGAGTGCTTTCATCTTCACCAGAGACACGATACCATAGCGACAAAGAATACAAAGCTGAATACGAATTGTCAAAAATATCAATAAAAAATTCGCGCAATTCTGTGAGTTGTTTAGAAGATTCCGATTGGCTTGAATCATCTCTTAACACTTCTAACAATTTTCGAAAATCCTCAGAATATTCCGCATCAAGCAGCTGCTGATAGTCTTTTTCTGTAATTTCTTTTCCAAACTCTTTGTTTTCTAGCGCTTTAGGTTGAATTGAGCACTTCATGTTGTTATATATAATGTTCCAATTGTTTATAAGCTCAAGTTTTGTTTCATCTTGGAATAAAAGTGGTTGCTTTCCTTTTTTAATATCATCATAACTTTTATAATAAATTTTTAAAAATTTGTCACGAAAGTTATAAATGACGGTGATGAGAAAATGCGCAAATATGTATTCTTCTCGTTCGTATTGAAATCCGTATTTCTGATAGTGGTCTCTTCTAAGCTTCAGTACCATATTAATAGCATCTTCTTTCTAATAGAAAAAATTTACTGTAAGAATACGTACGCACTTTTTTTAGTTTCAAATGTTCTCACCTCTTTTTTGAATTCGGCTTCAATTTGATGCTTGAGCGTTAATTCAAAATCAAGTGACATCTTATTTTTGTTTGCAAGTTAAATGTTTCTTTTGGCTTGCTTTTATTATTTTGCTGCATTATATACTTGCAAGCACTGGATAGATATTATAATTATAGCCATAACAATACGAAATAAAAATATACGAAATTTATTGGTAGGTTGACTACATGTACAGCAACGTATTATCTGCTTTATTCAGAACACCACAAATCACATAATTGTATTATTTTTATTTTTATCACCTTATGATCAATCTCTTGGCGTAAAGCAAACACGATATGAGTCAATCCATCGTGCACCTCCACTGTATGAATAGCTGTTTA